GAAGCATCATTGATAAACAAGTAGGATCGGATGCAGGTGTAAAGGCGAGGATTGGCAAAGCAAGGGCATCCTTTCTACATTTCAAGAACATACGGAACTCGAAACAACTGTCAACTAACTTCAAAGTGAGAATCTTCAATACGAACGTCAAGACAGTCCTACTGTATGGAGCTGAAACGTGGAGAACTACTACGACCATCATCAGGAAGGTACAAGTATTTATAAACAGTTGTCTACGCAAAATACTCAACATCCACTGGCCGGATACTATCAGCAACAGCGTTCTATGGGAGAGGACAAACCAGCTTCCAGCTGAAGAGGAAATTAGGAAAAGACGTTGGAAGTGGATGGAACATATACTAAGGAAATCACCAAACTGCATCACGAGGCAATCCCTAACTTGGAATCCGGAAGGGAAGCGGAAAAGAGGAAGGCCAGAGAACACATTACGCCGGGAAATCGAAGCCGATATGAAAAGGATGAATAGCAACTGGAAAGTACTGGAAAGGAAGGCTCAGGACAGAGTTGGATGGAGAATGCTGGTGAGCGGCCTATGCTCCTCCACGAGGGGTAACAGGCCTAAGTAAGGGAGTCTCAATATCTATTTTGCAATTTTAAAAACTGACATTCATTTCCACGAATACTTTGAATGTATGACCATAAACTTTGATGGGAATTAGTCGAAGATAAAATTCTTCGTCCATATATCTTCTTTCAATTTTATGGTAAATATTTCTGGTGAACGAAGATTTGGTGGAGATGACCAAATCTTTTGTTTTTTAGGGCACAATTACATAGTGACTTCAAAAATTATGAAAACCGTACATTAAATACAGTATTTACATATCTTCCATCAGTTGTCCTTTACATGCGTCACGATTCTTTCAATCATGTTATTATAACAGTTGCTTTTTGTTCCCTGTCCTGTTCCCCTCAGTTCAATCTTCTTAGTCTTCTGCTGGCAGGAATTCCCCATCCTATCGCTGCTACATACTACTTATATATAACAGCATATAAAGTATTCACCACATATTGTCTAACATGGTTTCTGTAATTACCGTATACACTGATAGGTAAAGAGTAATTATGTAATGCTGAATAAAATTCCAATGATATTTGCATCATTATGATTTTAAACTTAAAAATAATGGAAGTGTATTGAGAATCTTAGGTTTTTGGTACAGGAATTTTTGGTGATTTTTTATTGTTACCGATATTACAAACTAACATTAGTTAGACAATCAGTGAAAATCAAGAGGGACTGAATAGCTGTTTCATCCTAGTGATTTTTCATTAGCTTATAAAGGATCGAATTCATTACAATTAGGTCTCGCGATGAACGATTAACCTTTAAACCACTCAGCCAGTACTCGATGGTCAAACTTCAATCTTTGTTCCCATTGAAATTTACATTAACCACTAAGAGTTTCCTGAGACACTAATGAATACATGTTACACATTTCAAATGCGCTTATTAATTTATAGAACAAACAGTTAAATAAAAATGTTGATTTTCAAATGTAGAACTTGTGATACTGTGTAAAAATAGAAGTGGCTCATCAGAATAGAAACAATAATTAAATCCAATTCACTTAGTAATGCTTTGTTTAAATCTTCCGATTGTTATTTAGGACTGCAACTGGTCAGTCTCTAATTGGCCTATGTACATATTGTGCGTAATGCCTCGCTATCGTCTTACTCCACAAACATTATAAGCAAAGACGGATAGTGGCTAGCAGTGGAATCCAGGACGCGCGCTCAATCCTATTCGGGACTCGTCAGCTGGATGTACCTGCATCTCACAGTTGATGTTCACTCTGGGACTCGAACCCAGTACCTTTCTCTTCAAACGCCATCACGTTATCCACTTAGCTACTGATCTTAAGTAAATAATTTGAATGAATTTACACAATTTATGAAATTATAAAATATCCTATTTCAACGTATTGAAACAAAATTCACTTATATGAATAAGTAAGCAAGGTAAAAACCCTATAGCCCCCCCCCTCTGAAAATAAAATTACAATAAAAATTGGAACTCTGTGTTGGCAGGGATTTGAAGAAGTTAGATACAGTAAGAATTATTAAAATTTATCATTATAGTTAATAATTATAATTCAATAGAGATTCTTTATTACAGGGTTAAATTCGTATTCGTCTTTAGTTATTTTTTGTTTCGTAGATGATTTCTGATAATCAAAACTATTCAAACACAAACTTCTCAAATCTACGAACCATTTCATCATAGAGAATATGACTATTTTCCCTTAGACCTTCATAAATAAAGTCAAGTTAAGATCTTAGTGAAATACCATGGCACTTAATTTCATAAAGTCAAATGTGCTACTTTATTCATATTCACAAATTCTAACTCCCCCTGTAGCTCTTCTAGAGTTACTGCTGGTCTCAAGCTCAGGTAAAAGAGGAGGGTTGGGCATGGGATTAGCAAACCCATTTCATAGAAAACTAACCCGCTAAAAGAACGCTAACCAGAAAAAATAATTTAGACATTAAAATATATAGTCCTTAAATCATAAAAATAAAACTTTTGAATTATTATATCTTGATGGAATTTTTAGCTTTTCACTCAGAACATATTTCGTATATTTAATATTACTTCTGTGGTTTGTACTAGTGTTTATAAGGTATAATTTTGTAAATAAAATAATTTATGTATCTTGTTACATAAAGTTTTTTGTCTATTCAAGTTAACTATCAGGGAATTATCAGAAAGGATTTTGTAGAGATTTTAGTAATTTTATAGAGTGGAAAACTTGGAAGCACTGGACGGCCGTTTCGTTTTATAATGGGACTCCTCAGCAGTGCACATCCTGTATCCCACATCTCGAGATTCGAACGCAGTGCCTATCACTCTGGCGCGCGAGCACTTAACCGATAGACCACTGAGCAGGCATCTAAAAGTGTTAATGTATAACTTCAACCAATCCACGAAATTCAGCAACCATTCACCAATTGTCTTCAGTGAGTTGATATCTCCTGAGTTGAACTCCACTGGTTGCTGCTTCTCACTAGAACTCCAGGAAATACCTCATGGAGCGAGACTGGTAGGTCCTGAGTTCGAATCTCTCGAGACGGGACCGACTGATGGTCTCAACTCTATTAGGTAATTTATTAAACATGCTTCATTAATCCCGATTGCATATAGGTAGATAAGTATGGTACATTATCTTAACATATGAGTTAAGCACCAAAATGTATAACAAAAGAGTTCTAATTTGTTTTTTTTTCTTTAGACATGAATGTTAGCTAGTGAAAGATTTAGAAGGGTTGTGAGTGTTCGACATAACTTCACTGATACACTCTGCATTTTTAACCATATTTTTCTGTCAACAAATTTAGGCAGTGGATTCCTGTACGTCATGTGACAAAATAGGAAAAAAAGCATCAAGTATGGATCAAATATTTTTATTACTTTTACTAATAAATCTCAGGATTTATAGACAAGTATATGATCATTTCAGTATGATGGTCACCATAGTGAGTGTTTAGACAGGATGATGTTTCCTACAGTTTTTCAAAAACCAATCTTAAGTGGATCGTCTGTGATTTAAACTGATTTAAACTATTGTATACCCTATAAAATACATCTGTTTTATTTTATTTAAGAGAACTCTGTTAGATTATTGAGTAGACTAGGTTAATTTTAAAAAACAAATCTTTTATTAAGACGACGTTATTTACTAATGCTGAACAATCCTATTTACAGTTAATTGTTCCTAGATGGAAACAAAGAAATTGAATTAATATTTTAAGATCTGAAGAAATAATCCAAGGAAAAGTTACTTTATTTCCTGATTTCAGACAAATAACTAATGAAAAAAATACTGAAGAACTATTTTCTACTACTGTGGAACAAATTACATCATAAATCACTCTTGCGATCGAACTTCAAACATTTAAACCTCCCATCAGAAACCTCACCTTCAAACAACTGGATCGTAATCCAATGGTTCACATTTTCAGCTTCAGTCATTTCGAGATATTACCCAACTGCTATTCACTGAAATTAGTGATAGTGTGGTGTGGTCTACTTATATCTATATAAGTAGTATATGGTGTGGGTCAAACATAGAATGTATTTTCGCAGAAGACCGATGAGGAAAGAACTGAAATGAAGCGCAATCGTATGGAAAATGCATGAGCAATGGAATAAGAGAAGAAACAGTGAAGATTGAAACAATTGGTTGTCAATTTGCAAATTGACTGTTCATTGTTTGGTTATCAGAATTTACTGAGATAGTCTGTAATGTTTGCTTAAATACATTCGATTGACCCCAACCAGTGATCTGTTCACTAAGATAGTTATTCCACTTTGACATTGTTAAGCCCCATCAATCATACCTTCCATTTGTCTAGATGTCATTCATTAGTAACTAATGGGTGAGGTTAAACATTAATAACACAAATTTTTTTATTTAGATTACTATAAAATTATTGTAGCTGAAAACATGAAGTAACAAATAACTAAACAAACCAGACTCCAATTATCCGATTTAGTTTATGAATACTTATTATTACTAACAGACTTATAATTTATGCTAAACGAAATGAGTTATTACAGTGCATCATAAGTTTTGTAAGTAGTTTGTCATTTTGAAATTGGATGATAAAATTTATTTGAAATCTAGACAGAGATTTTTTATTTGAATAAAGAATAGAAAATAATATTTTAATGCTCTGAAATTAAATGAAACAAACTTTGTTCTTAATTTATAAAAACCACAAATAATACTTTTCACAAAGTACACTAAATCTCAAGAGGAACTGTAGATCTCTTTTTAATTACGGGGTTACAATATAGGAGTTTGAGTCACATCTTGTGGTGGGTTTAGCATTATCATCCATTCGCTTAAACTAAACAAGTTTGAGTGGGATTCCAAGGAACGAAGTGATAACGAGAAATATCATGATTAGTTGAGTAAATCCTTTCAAAAATTATTTTATTAATAAATAATGGTAATATATTTTTTTTTACTTACCAGTTTGTTGTAGAATCGATCCCATGATCAACAGATTGACGCCATAAAAATAACCAACGAGATTTATTTTTTCTTTTTGTTGTTCCAGATCTACGATTTGAAATTATTGAATTTAGATCATATAGTCCTGTACTATTAGTTGTTTGGTAAATATTATTAGAATTATTATTGTTATATAATGAACTACATGTAGCCCATTGCCTTTGCAATTTTCTTTGTACATTTAATAAATCAGTTGATGTTGGTTTATTTCTTATTTTCACATCATTTGTCATTTTTCCAAATGACATTGTAGTTGATATTGTCGTTGTCATCATGTCACTTGTAACAAGTGATGTCAATGGTATTGTGGAATTTCCTGATAAATTTTCAAAAGATATATGTGATGATTTATTACTTGTTAATCTTGATGTGATAGCTGATGAACCATCATTATCATCATCATCATCCGATAATTTATTCCAATGTACATTATTATTAGTTGTTTCAGAAAATGATGTCGAAATGATTCTTCGATGAAATATTTTCTTTATGGAATTACATGATCTTTTCAAATTATGATTGACCATTACATCATAACCGGTTGTGGAGTTAGTTACTTTTAGTTTACGAATGATATTATCATTTATAATAGCATTATTATTATTATTATTACTGTCAACACTTCTACTATTCATTACTATATTGTTATCATCAGAATCGAATGAACTTGATATAGACTGATGCATGGATTATTTGTTTATTTACTTAAGTAAACTTTGAATGAGCTCTTTTTTGAAGAAGAAGAAGAAGAAGAAGAAGAAGGATTAAAATATAATTTCCGTAATCATTTCATATTCTTTTTTTTCATAATTCAAGGCATGTTTGTTTGATTAAACCACAAAAATCATTTTTAACTATTTTAAAATGTTTAATAAATGTATAAAAATAAATCCTATTGGATATTGAATTACCTTGATTTCTATTGGCCAATTTTCATGACTTGTTTTTTAAAATAAATATATTTGTTTGAATAGTTGAATTCATGAGTTGATCTAAGCATGGGATTTTATTACTCATGAGTAGTGTTGTCTACTTATATCCATATAAGTAGTATATGGTGATGATCAGACATAGAATGCATTTTGGCGGAAGATCGATAAGGAAAGAACTGAGATGAAACGCAATTGATGGGAAATGCATGAACATTAAAATTAGAGAAAATGGACTGATATTTACAGAAGAAACAGTGAAGATTGAGATAATTGATTGTTATTTTACAAATTAACTGTTTACTGTATGGTTATCAGAATTTAGTGTGATAGTCTGTAATTTGTGCTTAAATACATTCGATTGTCCCCACCTGGTGTTCTGTTCACTATATAATGTCTTCACTTTAATAATTAATCACCTTTGTAACCGTTATTATATGAATCACAATGATGTTTGAAATCAGAAGGTAATTAGAAACAAAGACTAAAGTTTGTTGGTGGATAGCGCAGACAACAAAGCTACAAATATCTTGAGCGAATTTGAAGCAGAGAGGCGAATGTGTATGTGTGAGCAAGTACAGAGGCAAATTTATGATCAAATTAAATAAGGCGCAGCTAAGTAAGACAAAGATTGATAATAAGACTGGAGACATATATATTCATAGAGAAGAGAATAATTCATCGTGTGATATTTAAGTGACTACCTTGTAAGAGAGAGATATGTATATAGGCTGTCATGTGATCAAGAGTATGGGCTTATACAGACAAAATAATGATCACAATAGTACAAAGAAATAGACGAATTGTTACTGTTCGAATAACATTGTCTGTTAAGTAAGTTAATAAAAGGGTTTAACAAAATTTACCTATAATCGAAGTTGATTGTAAGAGAATTGCTATAGTAGATTAATTTTTGTAACTGAAGTCTATCCACAAGTTATTATGATCACCACCCATTAATATTAGCATCGATTCTGAAGGTCAATGTTTCCAACTAGATTACTGTGACATCTCTCTCTGACCTAGTTCTTAATAAACACATGATCAAAAGTTCTCTCAGTGGACATTTATATAATCGTCATAATGTATTGTCTACAAAAACGTCAAAAGTTAAAATTTAACTTAACGACTACACTGATATATGGAGACGCTATTTCGTAACCTAAATTTTTTCAGAAAATTTGAACCACTAGATTTAACTTCATTGAATAAATTATGTCGTACATGTTACGAAATATTCCTGTTGTTTTATATTAAATACCGAACCCTGATAACAACTTACTACCTATTTCAAAATGAGTCGAATGGAAATGTAAACAGAAAAATAATGTTCGTTCTTTGTCAAATTTATTTCATCATTCACCTTATTCTCCTTTCATATGTAATACAGAAACTGTAATTATATTTCAAGTAGGAAATTTAATAACCTTCAACTGTTTAACCAATATACTGAACTAATGTATGGATGTATGCAATTATCCGTTTCCTTCACACTTCTTTTCACACAAAAGAAACTTGTTGAAATACTACTTTGTGCTGATAATTCTATATTGTACTAAAAATATAATATTGAATAAAGCCATTTATAATAATAACTATTATTATTATTATCAACTTGATATTAAATAGAACTAAAGTGGTTTCATTCGAAATGTTTTGAACACACGAAGTCATTGCTCAAAGTGTCCACTTAAAAAAAGCCATAAATTCGTCATTTAAACGATTAGAAATTGCTTCGAGTTCCATAGTAACATAGAGAGAAAGAGTGAGTGAGTGAGTGTGAGAGAGGGGGGAGGGAGAGAGAACAGAATGAAATGAATTGACTTCATTTCATTTAATAAAATATTTCCATTCATATTATAGTCAACACTTATGATTGTTATTCTTTCTTGGAAATACATTCATTTATTATAGATGAAAATGAAAACTTCGCTATAAATATTTACGAAAGAGAAGGGAAGTTTAAGTGACATACCGTTTTAGATGTCTTATTGCATAACCTCAATACATATAACATTTGTTTCATGTTATAACTTTTAATTTTTCTGTCAGACTATGATTATAATGTATAGTTGAAATCATGAGTCAATTGAAGTTTGACCACCGTGGAAAACCTGGAAGCACTGGATGACCATTTCGTCTTTATGTGGGACTCCTCAGTTAATAAACAAATAAACTTAATAATCATAATATGTTTGATTTGAATTAAAATTGGTTAGTTGATTGTGTATGTAATGCTGTGGTATGGTTTACTTATATCCACATAAGTAGTATTTAATGATGGTCGGGCATTGAATGCATCTCAGTAGAATATCGATAACTAAAAAACGGAAACGAAACACAATTGGTATGGAAATGCATGAACAATAATTATCGGACCTTATGGACTGATATTTGCAGAAGGAACGTTGAAGATTGAGACAATGAATTGATAGTTTGCAAATTAACTGTTTACTGTATGGTTTTCAGATTTCAGTGAGATAGTCTATAATTTTCATGCAAATACATTCGATTGTCCTCAATCGTGTTCTCATTCTCTAGAATGCGATTATATGCTAATATTCATTTAAGTCTATTTAAAATTCCAGTTACAAATAAGTAATCAACGACTATGTTGAATATGAGATCTACGTAAATGTTTAATTTATGAATTCATTTCGTTGAAAGTCATGCTGATAAGTTGAAAACAATTAGACTAGACCGAATGATTTTATCACTTAGTTTATTGCTAAATTAATTATACAGAAACTTTCTACCAAATTTGTAATATTTGAAATCTGAAATAAGTTTTGAAAATATCATACACCAAGTTCTATTACGAATGTAATGTGAATTCTTCCCTGAGTACGTCACTGTGGTGTGTGCTACTGATATCGACAGATATAAGTGGTATACATAATTAGTCCAAAGTGAAATACCTGGAGGCAGTAGGTTAATAAGAACAAAAAAAGAGAACGTGAACAAAGAATAATTTGTACAGAAACGAAAGAATAATGAAGTGTGAGACGACTGATCGCATTTACAAAAGGAACATTCAAATCTGAGACAATTGATTGACATTTTGCAAATTAAGTATGGTTCTCAGATTTTACTATGATCTCCTGTAATTTTGTATTCCCATACATTCAATTGTCCCCAGTTGTGTTCTCCTTCACTACATAACTACTTCATAAAATTATAAGTAGTGAGTTTATAAGTAACACAGTTGGTTAACTAATATCTACTTATATATTTTTTTAATCATTCAGTAGTATATATGTAAAGGTTTCTGATTAAAATATAAATTTTAAAATAAACTGTCAAACTGAAAAAATCCCAACCCCAAAATGAACAAAAATGGAAGAAAACTATTTTATTTGAATATGACGATGCTAACTCCGCCTGTAGCTCTTCTAGAGCTACTACCGGTCCTAAGCCCGGGTAAAGGAGGTGGGTTGATCATGGGATTAGCGACCCCATCCCGTAGAAAAACTAACTCGCTAAAAAAACGCTAACGAGAAAAAGTAATTCAAACCACTTAAACTCTAATCTGAGGGTTGAAGGAATAATTATGACGCCTCATGATGAAAGCGGAAATTTTTCTGAAGTCACGAGGCCTATCCACCCTCTAACAACCAGAGCAAAACTCTTTATAGGTACATGGAACGTCCGGACAATGTTTAAGACTGGGAAGACCAGTCAAATAGCAATGGAAATGAGGAGATACAAATTGACAATACTCGGAATCAGTGAAACCATTTGGACCCAAGCTAGATTACAAAGGCTAGGTACGGGAGACACGCTATTGTACTCCGGTACTCCGGAAAATGCTCCATACACTCAGGGAGTTGCTCTAATGCTGTCCAGAGAAGCACGAAATGCACTTGTAGGATGGGGTTCTCATGGATCCAGAATAATCAAAGCATCATTCAAAACGAAGAAGGAAGGGATCACAATGAATGTTATCCAATGTTGTGTTATGTGATGTTGCTAATGTTTTTTCTTCAAAATTATGATAAACTAAATTATCTACATTTAAGAATACGACACAAACAAATAAAATTCCTTCTCTATTTTAAATAACGAGAATTATAATGTATAATATTCCTCATAACAAGATAATGACTGAGTTGAAATTAAACATACTTAGGTTTCGATAATGTAATAAGAAGACAAAGATTATCAGAACTATGTGATGGTTGCAATGGTTGCAAAAACAAATACAGTCGAAGGACCCAATAAGAGTAGAGGATAAACATCCATCATCCTCTGTTGCTAAACACATAATCGAAACAGGTCATAAGATTGATCTTAACTCAGCTTTTGTTGTGTTGTTTAAAAGTGTAAAAGGGCGTATACTGAGGTTTATTGAAGCCTTAGCCATACGAAAATTCAAACCCCCTTTGTGTATTCAAAAACAGTTTGTCCTCTCCTTAAACCTACCCTGGTAATAAATGCCTATTATCCAGAGTGATTAGGTGTCAAGTTGTTTTCACATTATTTTATCATTATTATCCTTGTCTATTTCTTAACCTTATTACCCGTCTAGTTGACCTTTTATTTTTATATATAAATGTTCTTAACAAGTATATGTGTGATCAGATTGTTCGAAATGTATTGCGCTAATATGTCACATAGTTCTGATAATCTTCGTCTTCTTATTACATTATCGAAATTTATCAAAGGGACTAATTGCTTTAAATACTTAGGTTTCCTATCGGAATGGGATTTTGTGGAGAAATTTAATGTAATAGTTGAAATCATGAGTCAATTAAAGCGAGATTGTAGTAATCATGTTATCACTAGTGACTGACTTCAAGAGGTATTTCTTGGAATTCTAGTGAGAAGC